TCGCCCTTTCAGCCGTGGGGGAGTTATAATGTGACGGTCAATCCCACTATTCGTTGGTAAAAGAGTAGCCCAAGAGTTGGTGGTGGGTGGTGATGACTAGCTGCCTTCCCTCTAGTCTTACACTGCTAAATTAGGGCGGCTAGCGCAGATAGCCCTAGTGTAGCTTTGCGCGAAATTCAAAAACAAAACAAAACTGTGTCATGTACTTATAAAGTAATTGGTCGAATTATGGTTTTTATAGCTAATATAGGTCTGTCTAAGTAAAATTTTATTGTTAAGTTTAGCTTAAAAATTATTGATGATGTGCATTTAGAAATTACATTTTGAAAGTTTTTCATTTACCTGAGGCATAATGGTTAAATTTTCCTTAAATGTTTCAGGGAAAATTAGTTTTCAGTAGAATTAAAATTTTTATTAAAATAATTTGATAATAGCAGTGTAAAAATATATTGATTGGTTTTTTTAAAAAGTGGATTTCAGAAGTGTTTGATATGTGGTCTGACTTTTCTACGGCTTGGAGACCAAAATGGTTTCCTGACATGAAGAAAAACACAGAAGGCCATAGAATAATTTATTCCACAGTGTTGAACGTTGTCAGCTCAAAAGTTATTAACAATTGAACATGGTGTTGCAACATGTTTTATTTTTTCAATCATTATTAGCTTTTCATTTGTATAAAGTACCCTTTCATCTCTTGATTTTTTAATAGACTCCGTGTGTTTGTCTGTGTAATTATTGTGAAACTACAGAGTGATCAGTTAAATGTTGAATACCTTGCAGTAATTTATCACATAAACTTACTTGTTTATAAAATGTCAACAGCATCATGCCACTTGGAGCGAGCACCGTCCAGAAGTTATTCTAAACAATTTTAACACCCGACTCGGTCACACTGTAGCCCGTATGCTAGCATCCATCTTCCATTATGAACCTCAATTTCGTGGACGTCGAGTTGTCACATTTCACAACCAACGTGATTATATATTCTTTAGGCATCACAGGTAAAGCCTAATCACTTTTGGAGCTTATAAAATACATTATGTTTAGTCTCATAGTAAATTATTATAAAATAGTTTAAAGATGATATTGTCGACCTTAAAACACGGCTGATTGTTCCTTTAATTTTTTTCTTTGTTATGATGATGATGTGTTCAGGTTATAATGTTCCTGCTTCCTTTGTTACAGCGCTTGTTTTGTTCTGGCACAAATTTTTTGTGAACTTATTACAGTTATTAAAGATTTGAAAATTTTAAGATGTAAACTTCAAACTATATAATTTTAAAATTTACAAAATTCTTTATAAATGTTTGAAAAGTGTACATTATAAGATAAGTTATTAAATCAAAATAATTGAAATATTATTTATTAAATACTTCAAACACACTGTACTTCAAAATAAATACTTCTGAAGATCAGCTATTCTCATCTGGTGCTGCCCTTTATATGCTAACTTTTTTCTTTATGCCTGCCACAAGCTTTCTGCTCCCCCCTATTGGAATCAAATGCAAATCATCATGTGTCACTTCTCCACCAATAGGAGCATGACATATGTGATGCATGCAGCTCCCTCTGTATGCTTCTACTGAACTATCACTTCTCATTTGGCAGTACTTGTGCTTGGATGTGTTCCTTTATGTTCAACTTTAGTATACTCGTGAAGTAGTTTTCATTTAAATTATTTCCAAGTTTATTAAAACTGTTTCTTCACTTTAATTCAATCCCAGTTTATTACAGTTGCATTATTATTATTAATAATTTCGATTTTGGTTGACTCTTCTTGATTATGAATTCCTAAGTTCGTGTTACCAATTTTTGGTCACACCTGCGACTAGTGCTATGTCACAGGTGTCACGTGTGAGCGATCTGTTGGGAAATTTTTCATCATTTATTCACAGGGAGATTGAACATTACATGAGTCAATCTCTATCTCCAGACCTCGCCTCACTTCCTCCTGAACAAGTTGAGCCTGTTCAAGCTGACGAGGATTTGGATTGCCTATTTCCACCTCCTGATTTTGCTGTGTCTTCCCATGCTCCTCCTGAGGAGTCGGTTAGGCCTACTGTTTTCTTTTTGGATTTCATTTCTCAGGTATGTGATGTTTTATATTTAGCCCCTATATCCTATGAACCGCATCCTTATGAACTACATGACCAATCTTCACATCCCTATTTGGTTTTTACACCCGTCCCCAGATAATCGGTACATGCTGATCAAGTTAGCTCACAATTAAGTGATGGGATTAGCATGCCTCCTCCCCCACGGGCTTCGGATTAGTTTGATCTTGCATATCATCTTGCAGACAGTCCTTTTCTAAACCAACAATTGTTAGGTTCTATTTTACCTGTTTTGGGGGTGGTCCCCGAATCTTCTTTAAGTCTGACACATGCCCAAGTTTCCCGCCTTCTTTTAACCCTCTTTTTACGATATCTCTACCATCCATCACCTCTCTGAGGCTCTCCTATGAAATCCTGAGGGTTTTTTGGTGACATCTTCACCCTTCTTTCCTCCACGTTGGCTCATTTGTCGTCTTCAACTCTGGCTTTGTATACATGGTTTCTATGTTGTTGGGACCTTCTAGGTCATGATGTGACCTTAACTCGCATCTGTTTACCAGCATCTTATCTTCAGAATTTATGTATAGCCCCATTTTTGCGGTGTTACATATTTGACACAAATTTTGAGTCCTTGAAGTCACGAGTTGCATCAGTACAACAACAGTCTACTCTTTCCAATCTTGTTGCCCGTTTGTCTCTGTCGAAGCCCAATATAGCACATGTTAGCTTCCCATCCTTCTCCTTCCCAACCCTTACCTGTCTCGTTGTTTTCTTTGATGACACATGTCATCAACAGTACCTGTGAATACCCGGTGGGAGCTCGACTTGCTGATTTTCTTCATCAGTGGCGTCCTTTCATCAAGGATCATTGGGTTTTTATATGTCTCCTATACCCGTTTCCCTCTCTCCACCCCTGGATCCAATGACTGGCCAACATCTATCAGAGGCTGTTCAGGACCTACTCTATCTGCAGGCCATCGAACCTGTTCAAAATACTTCATCAGGTTTTTATTCCAAACCCTCTTGTTCCCAAGAGCACCAGGGACTTGAGGTCTGTCATCAATTTGTCTCGCCTCAATCGATACGTTCAACTGCTCCATTTTACTAAGGAGTCATTTCTCACCCTATGGTGGGTGTTTATCCTGGACTTATGAATGACCAAGATGGACATCACCAGTGCTTATCTACACATCCCTGTCTCAACACAGTCTTGTCCGTATCTTCGCACCCTACCCTTTGGGCTTTCTTCTGTCCCTTATGTTTCCTGTCGAGTGGTCAGAGTTTTTGCTCACAATTTTCATGCTCTGGGACTGCAATTCCACCATTACATGGATGACTGGCTTCTTCTGGCTCGTTTTGAACTGGAGTCATCTAGCCATACTCCTCAGCTTCTTCACCGTGCTGCTCGGGTGGCTGGTTAATCAAATTGGAGAATTCTTACTCCCATCCTACCCAACCTTCTCCTCTACAACTTTGTTCCATGGAATTGTTATCTTGCCACACCCTTTCAGCTCCCTCACTTTCTGCTTGCGAGGCTCTATAGCTTTTGGGGATGTGGTCATCAATGACGTCACTGGTCTCTTGGTCGTGAACATATGCAATCCCTTCAGTAGGCTCTTTGTGATCAATGGAATGTTGCTCAGGATACCTTGGAAACTCTCATTACCCTTCCTTATACTCTGTTGGACAATCTGCTTTGGTGGTTGGACAAGGCCCCTATGTCAGCGGTGTCCCGCCTCCTCGACCTGATTTATATCTGTTCACAAATGCACCCCTTCAGGTCTGGGGTGCATGGGTCAATCACCAAGAGGCTTCAGGTCATTGGTCTGTCAATGAGCAGTCTTTGCATATCAATGTCCTTGAGCTTCTCACGCTTTGAATCACTTCCTTCTTCTCGCCAGACATTTTCTGGTGATGATTTATTCTGACAATTCTGTGGTGGTAGCACATATCAATCACCAAGGTGGCACCCAGTCAAGATCTCTCTTTTTGTACATTAGGTTTCCTATATTGGGCCCACATGCACCACATTTATCTCATTGGATGTTTTCAATCTCGTAGCGGATCATCTTTCCCGACCCAACAAAACTTATTCAATGGAGTGGTCATTAGATCCCTCATATTCTGGTGGCTTTACAGTCTGTGTGGTTTTCCACACGTAAATGCATTTGCCAAAGCTCTCAATCACAAATTACCCCTCTTTTGGTCCCTCGTACCACATCCTTGGGCTCTGGTGGTTGATGCCTTCAGCCAGGATTGGTCCCACAAATTCCTTTATGTTTATCCTCTTATCCGATTACTTCATTGGGTGGTCTCTCTCATCCACATCACTCTATGTCAAGTTTTTCTGATCGCTCCCTATTGGCCAGCTCAACCGTGGTTTCCACGATTACACCAACTACAACTTTTCCCTTGTCTCCCTTCCTTCTTCGTCAACCTTGGTCACCAGATTTGCATCTCGCCATTCATGCCCTTCATCTTTACACCTGGCTTTTATCCAATCCTTGGCAAGGAGATCAGGTTTGTCCTGTCGAGTAGCTTTCCTTTTGGCTCGTTCCATATGTCCGTCTTCAATGGAGGTGTATCAGCGCAAATGAAAGGTGTACCACAGTTGGTCAACTACTCGAAGATTCCCTGCTGACTGACCTACTGTGGCTCATGTGGCTTTTTGACTGGGGGTCTTCAGTCTCTTCGATCTCAGGTTATCGGGCTGCCTTATCCCATACCTTTTGTTTTTCCTGATACCATCGAGTTTTTGCTTCCGCTGTCCTTACCAGGTTAATGCATTCCTTCCGGATTCATCTGGACTGGAATATTAATGTAGTCCTCCATTTCCTCACTTTACCTCTGTTTGAAACTATTTCCTCATGCTCCATGTTTCACCTTTCCCTTAAAACATATTTTCTTCTCCTCTTATCCTGTGGATGTCGAGGGTCTGATTTGTTCACCATTGACGTTTCACATACACTTTACCACCACACCTATCTTCTCCTTTATCTGGATCATTCCTTCCCAAAGACCTTGATAGCTAGGAAGGGTAAGTCCTCCTTTTTTTCCTATTTTCCTTCCTTCTATTTCTCATCTCTACCCACTTCCTGATCCGAATAGACTTCTATTTCCGATCTGTACCCTTCGTTGCTATATTGCTTGCAGGATTTCTTTCTGTGGTACCCATTCCCGACTCTTTAGCCATTGGCAGTCTTCCTATGTTCGTGATCTATCCCCTTCTACCCTCACCAATTTGGTTCAACGTTTGATTCAATAGGCTTATTCCTCCATGTCTTTTTCCCACCAGAATTTGTTCAGGGTGTCTTTTCTTCAGATTCGACACCTTACCTTTTCACTCATATCTTGTCTTCTTCGACCATTGGAGAAAATCCTACAATCGGACATGTGGACTACACCTAATACGTTCATCTCCCATCATTTACACCACATTGCAGTTTCTTCCTCATCAGGTTTTTGTCTTCCACCTGTGGCCGTTCTTCAAGCTTTGGTGTGACTTTGACTGGGTAAGTCTAGATTCATACATTCTTTTAATTTCAGGGGCCCTTGTTTCATTAATTCTTTATAGGCATCCCGCTCCTTGGCGAATGGTGCCTGACCAGGTATTCTTCATTCAGAAATCCACAATGTACAGCCATGTTGACTCATGCTTTAACTTCCATGGCTTTACAATGCTCACTGTTGAGGTGGGGTGTTCCACAAGATTGCTTGTTTGTGAATAGCCTTGTGATGTAATTGCTTCATAAACTTGACTGTACCACCCATGGACTGCATGGGTAAAACAGAATGGGATAGCTGCCCATCCCTGCCATACCTGAAGTGAATAGCTTGGTATGGTCTGCTTTTCAAATTAGGGTTTCGTGGTCACCCATTACACTGTCTCAGGTGATGATATTCACCCCAATTGTCCAACACATTCTTATCCTCTTCAAGCTTTGGTGTGACTTTGACTAGGTAAGTCTAGATTCATACATTCTTTTAATTTCAGGGGCCCTTGTTTCATTAATTCTTTATAGGGATCCTGCTCCTTGGCAAATGGTGCCTGACCAGGTATTCTTCAATCAGAAATACATAATGTACAGCCATGTTGATTCTCGCTTTACCTTCTATGGCTTTACAATGCTCACTATTGAGGTGGGGTGTTCCACAAGATTGCTTGTTTGTGAATAGCCTTGTGATGTAATTGCTTCATAAACTTGACCGTTCCGGACCATAGTAGTTTCTTTGTTAGTGATGTTGAGTTGATTTAATTGTTTGGATGTAAAATAATAACAACTAATGAACAATGTTAAAAACATTATTATTCTTAACTTTGTTTAACGCAAACTTGAGTTTATTAAGATACATTCTTCTAAAGGTAAATATAATCAAGACCTATACCTCCTATATTTAGATTCAACTGGATTAGTGAACTGGTAGGCTATCGATAGCTCCTGACGAAGCTGTGATAGCGAAATATTGAGCTAATAAAGTTACATTCTGGAGATATAGGTCGTGATTTTATTTATGATTAATGTTCAAAACATTCAATGTGATGTTCAACATTTGTTTTTTAATAGATTTATTAAGAGTTTCATTTTTCAAATGATAATATTATCATATTGTTTTTATTTTCTAGATATGAATTTAAAAATGAAAAACGTGCAGCGATACAAGAAATTGGACCAAAGTTCACATTGAAGCTTCGGTCCCTCCAGAAAGGCACCTTTGATTCAAAGTTCGGGGAGTATGAATGGGTATTGAAGGTGAGGTTGAAGTAAAGTTAAAACTTGATTTAACTTTTGTGTATTGTAATAATTTTAGTTTGGTAGAGACCTACATAACTTTATGTTTTATAAAATAAATTGGATTACTGTATAGTATATAGACGAGTTGTGCAAAGGGAAATTGGTAGTGTGTAAGTTAGAAAATCTTGTTAAGCACCATTAGAATAAAATGACCATGGAACTTTGAACAAATATCCTCTGTCGGGTAGTGCCACTGGCTTAAAAGATACAATGTTTGGAAAATATAGATAACATGAAACAAAGGTAACACTGAGAGAAAAAAAAAACATAAAACAAAAGCTAACACTATAGCAAGTTATCTGAATAGTAGTTACAATCAGATGGCCAATCAAATGATGCATATTTATACATATATGTAAGCTGTAACTCTCACTTTAAAATCAGGAGTAACCAGTGTGTGTTTTAGGTTTAATTAGACCCGGATGAAATGTTGTTTTTTAAGGAGTTCCTGTTTGTTTCTGTTCATCTGAGCTTCATGGAGGCAAGAACTGTCCAGAACTTTAATGAATTATCGTGGATTCTAAAATCCCTTGCAATGCATTCATGAGAAATAACCTAATATCTCTGACATGTTCCAGTAACATTGTAATCCATTTCCTCTATGTTCATATTACAACAACCTAATATTAAATTAACCTTTCCTTTGACTTAGTAATAGTATAGTTTACTTGCAGAAGCAGTGAAATATATCATACAAGTCTGATCTTTCACTGTGACAGATGTGGTGATAGTCTGTAAAAACATTGACAAAACTGAATCTGTAAAGATTTACTTTCCAAAGTTAATTTTTTCTAGGCACACAATGACAGTAAAAATACTTTTTACGTAATAAATCTTTGTGGTTTTTTAATTGTTCATTCTATTGTGTTATTTCACTAGAACAAACTTGTGTTTTATTTTTATTACAGCGGCATCAAATGGAGACGAGCAGACGACGCTTTTTTCTATGATAGAAGACAGAAGAATATGATTATATTTTGTATCACTTTGTATAGCTCAATGAAAAACTAAAATAAGACACTCATGAAGATGGAAATATTACAATGAATTTAGATGGTTCTCATGTATCCAATTCAGCAACATCTGCTGTCATTTGAGGAAATTTATACCAAGAACGTAAGCTTAAAAGTTGGGTTCGTTGTTTGCCTGGTTTGTGGCACTGGCATAGTTATTATTATTAAGGGCAATTATCGAAATTAACTTAATTATCTAGATCAGAGCTAAAATAGTTTGAAATATCATATACATTAGACAGTAGAATCTGGTATAACAAATTGAATAGAAATAATTATTATTATAAATCAGTATACCACTAAACAGAAACTGTATCGTCAGTTGGGCACTCTTGATAATATCTTTAAAAATTGACACAGCTTAGGATATTGAGGTTAATCCTTAACCCACACATAAATACAACAATTCAAAATAAGCTTAATTGTGATTATGATTCAAAAATTGTTGAAAATAATTATCAACAATATATCAATTAAGGTTTAATGAAACTAACTATAAAGAAAAGTGAAAAGATTGCATTCAAGCTGATTGAAATATAAGGTCCAGAGAGCTGATGAAGGAACTAACAGAATGTTAAATGTAACATCCAGAGAGCTGATCTCTGGATGTTACATTTAACATTCTGTTAGTTCCTTCAACATTCTGTTAGTTCCTTCATCAGCTAAATGTAAATCCAGAGAGCTGATGAAGGAACTAACAGAATGTTAAATGTAACATCCAGAGAGCTGATGAAGAAACTAACAGAATGTTAAATGAAATTTCCAGAGAGCTGATGAAGTAACTAACAGAAGATTAAATGTAACATCTAGAGAGCTGATGAATGAACTAACAGAATGTTAAATGTGACATCTAGAGAGCTGATGAAGGAACTAACAGAATGTTAAATGTGACATCCAGAGAGCTGATGAAGAAGGTTAAGGGCCAGGCTTTCTTAAGTGTACAATTTGGTGTCGCCACTGTTCTGGGGCAAACTTCTCTGAGTATGTACCTTACACAAATATATACTAATTTCTATATGATAGACAATGTACAGAGCTTCCGAACATATATAATATGTTGAGTTTGTATTACATTTTTCCAGCAAACCAATGAAATAAACAATGGTGGGGGTGTTAAAAGTAGCATGTCGCCAGCAGAAATATTTAATTTCAAAGCAATAACACAAACACAAGAATTGTAAGCCGTTATTGTGATTAATTAGTAAACATTTACATTTTAACATTTTGTTATTAGCTGATTGTCCCATTACTTTTTTCACATAATAATATGCAAAATAACATGTCGCCGTAATCCATTACGGTCGTTTATTTTCAAGATGATAATTACAAATTTTTAAGTAAATAAAAATATTAAGAGTCTAAAATCAATCCAGGAAGTATATAATTTGATTTGATCGTACCCCAAACACGGGGTATCAAGCGATATTCTGGGTATGTCCATTTGGAGCTTGTAATAAATAGTTTTTAAGTTACGTGATCTGCTTTACGCATATATCTAGTGCAGATATTCAAATTACGTCATTTTGGCATAACATTATTGTTGTTATCAATAACTGAAAGGGTAAGAGTAAATTGCGTTCTTCAATAAAAATCACTAAACATGAAATTGCGTGAACTCCTTTAGTTCAGTTTTGCTACAGAGAGGAATATATAGAGTGTATAATGCTTTTCCCTCCATACTTAGTTTCCACCATGTGCAGATGATTAGGGTAGGATGGGTGTGAAATGTATTAGTCACAAATCATTCAAGAAATATCCTTGAGAGTGGGATTACATAACGGGCGTGTATCTCTTTAACTGCATAACTAAAAAAATGTGTAAGTGGTAGTAATTTTAGGTTTAAATGACTGATAATTTACAAAGCTATATCTGTGAGCGATAATTAGGGGTTTATTTATAAAAACACATAATTGGTGAGATTCATGTAAAGGAGATCAACATTTTAATTCAACTCCTTATATATGCTTTGCACATCTTAGTATAATGCAACGTTAACATTATAATAAAAGCTTACATTTATGTCCTGTGGAAGTAGTCTAATACAAGATAACTATTCTTATTAGCCTGCTATAGCTGGATTTACTGTAGAAATGTAAAGGAGATCACATGAATTTCTACATCTTTTTTTGCTAATTATACAGAGGTGGTATGCATTTCAGTGATGGGTTTCATATTTGTATTTTTAGAATTGTTGATAAACAAAGTCGGTGCTGAAATATTATCACAGAAAAAAAGGCAGCAGAAGGGAAAACCTTCTTACAGTTTGTTTGTTTTTACCTTTTTATTTAAGATACAATATAATATGGTAAAGAAAAACGCGTGTGCAAAACAGTAGTCTTCTTCATCAAGGTGGAAAAATATAATGTTGCCCGACTGCTAGATTTTTGGCACAAGGCACTATATAAATCATACTTATAGGAAAATATATTTTTTCAACATTCACCAGTTGAAAAATGGACACTTAAGAAAGCCTGGCCTTTAAATGTAACATCCTGAGAGCTAATGAAGAAACTAAGACTGACTGTAACATCCTGATGGTTCAAAAAAGAAAGAGATAGAAAAACTCAGGAAGAAAATCAAATACCAAATTAGGTATGAAAACTGTTGTTTGTCCTATGACTTTAACAAAGCCTGCCTTACCAATATACAACAAAAAGAATTTTAAAAAAGATGCAATATTATTTCTGTAATTGAACTTACAAGTAGAATAAGTTTATTCATACAACCAAGTTTACCAGTGTCAGTAATGTTATGTATCTGCTTATTTGTTAATTTCTGGTATAAATTCTTTCCGAGGAACTTCAGCGATACAAGTCCTTTCTTGATTAAACCAGTTTATTCTTTCTCGATACAAACTTTTAATACACAGTAATTCTACAGTCAGTACGTTTCTCGTCACTTTAAATATAACATACACTATAAATCACAGCGATTCACAATCTCGAAAACACACACTAGCTCGAAACAAAATCGTAAATTACCCAGAACTCTCTTCATTCAATTCCGCAGGCTTTCTCTGCCAAGCTTATATACTAAAAAAAAAAAAAGGGCGTCCCGAACAAACTCGGTCTTCCCCGATAATTCATGATCATTCAAGAAATTCATCACGTGACTTCCGCTGTCGCATCAGTAAGTATTTGTTTCACATCAAAGTCATTTTATTTTATACGGAATTGTCGGCATATTTTAATTTGCCTCCTTCATCTCCCAGTAAAGAAACTGAATATTTACAGACTTACAGTGCTAAAATCCTAGGTTCAATTCCCTGTGGTGGACGGAGAGTAGGTATGCTTTGCGTAGCTTTGAACTAAAACAAATTTGACTCCTAGCGAATTTTTTTATGTGTGTGAATGTATAATAACATGTGAACTTCCCACGTTCTCCACACGGCATATTTTGCTTGAAAACGTTTTAACCTTAATGCTTATTTCAATTTATAAATTATTTACCCTAACATAATAATTTAAAATGGATTGAGAGCTAAAGATTTTAAATGCAAAACAAGTTAAGAGGAATTTATGTTAACGGTTTATTTTATTCATAGGGTAGGATAGCCTAAAATTAATGCACAGTTGTTCTAAATACAGAGAAAAATGAATTAAACCATCGCGAAATGTTTAATGACCAGGAAGGTTAGGGCATACAGTAAATTTGTTACTGTCGTTAATATTATCTTAATCCCGTCACATTGTTAATTATGGACTTCGCGAGCTCTAGCCGAAAAATGTCAAGCATTCTTAATTGTAACATTTCAATAAATAAGCATGTGTAACTGCACTAACGTGTTGGTAGCAAATGGACTATTTTCTCACTTAGAGTTCCTTGTAACTGTAACTCAACGATTTATTTCATTTTATTTTTTTTTAGTTTTAGCTTGTATAATGTGCAAAGTTTAGTATACTCTAATCCCTTATAGTGATGACACACGTTCGTCATGTAATGCTGTTTGAATACAAAAGGGGAAACAACGCCTCTGTAGCCATAAAGAATATCAAAGAAGTTTATGGAAATGTTTTGAACGTTCGTAAGTGTCAACGATGGTTCAGCAAATTTTGTTCGAGTGACTTTAGTCTTAAAAACTGTGATGGCAGGGGCCGACATGTTGGAATTGATATTGATGCTCTGAAGACTTGTTGAGTTTAATCCAAGGCAACACACTCGTG